GTTACACACCTACATTTAAAAGGAAAAAATAATATTTAAAAACGCTGCGCGCACGCCTTTGACAGGCAGCATAAAGCTCGAAATGAATGGCGTTATTCCCCCTTGCCCTTCAGACGTCGTAGTGCTAGACTCGTAAGGCGAACTATAGGTGCTCCTCTAGTTTTTGAGAAAATCAAAAAAAACTAAGGGGCTGCTAGGTTTGTGAAAGCTAGCAGTCCCTTAGTTTTTCTTGATTTTCTCAAAAACCAAAGGAGCACCTAATTTTCAATTAGAGGCCCTAATTAGCACCTAAACAGCACCTAATTATTATATAGATCCCGAATTTTTTTGCCATTCTGACACACCAACAAGTAAACGTAAAGTCAGCAGTCCCCTAATAATTAGAAAAAAATCTGTAACTCAGTTAATAATTAATGAATTCTATTTTTTCTTCGACTATTTAGGAGCAGTTAAAAAATACCCAATTCTGATACAAAAGAAATTTTTGGAAAAATATTTTCCAGTATAGGGGACTACTAGCTTTCATAAACCTAGCAATCCCTTAGTTTTTTTTGATTTTCTCAAAAACTAGAGGAGCACCTAATTTTTAATTAGAGGCCCTAATTAGCACCTAAAAAGCACCTAATTATTATATACAACCCGATGTTTTTTTGCCATTCTGACACACCAACATGTAAACGTAAAGCCAGCAGCAGTCCTCTAATAATTAAAAAAAAATCTGTAACTCAGTTAATAATTAATCAATTCTATTTTTTCTTGGACTATTTAGGAGCACCTAATAGCACCTAATTCTGATGCAAAGAAAAAAATTGGAAAAATATTTTTTACTATAGGGGACTGCTAGCTTTTATAAACCTAGCAGTCCCTTAGTTTCTTTTTTTTTGATTTTCTCAAAAACTAAAGGAGCACCTAATTTTTAATTAGAAGCCCTAATTACTAATTAGCACCTAAAAAGCACCTTATCATTATATAGTTCCTGAAGTTTTTTTTCCACCTTGGGACTGCTAGTTTTATAGACCTGGGGCCTGTTTCATAAAAAATATTAGTCTAATAATATTACTCTTTAGCAAAAAGCATAAGTCAAAATTATGATATTGATAATATAATTTTGACTTATAATACCTGCTAAAGAGTAATATTATTAGACTAATATTTTTTATGAAACAGGCCCCTTAGTACGGGATACGAGGCCTATTTCATCAAATCATTTTACACCGTCTTGCATTGTTATCATCAGTTAGATAACATGGTACTGAAACGCACTTGTGCAGGGAAATAGATGGGAGTGGGGGATTTTGCTGAAAAAAATGTTTCAGAAAATGTCATCATAAACGAGGAAAATATTTAATTATACACCGTCTTGCATTTATTTATTGAGTTAATTTGTACATAAACAAAATTGGATTAACACATGCAAGACATTTTCATGGGGGTTTTGGGGTTGTAATATAAGATGGAAATTGTCAATTTTTGAGAGGGGTGAAATATCATTTTACACCACTCCATTGTTGATTTATATCAAAGCTTGAATGTAGAATAGCCACTGGATACTGATACAAGACGTCCTGTAGAGGGATAACGGGCTGCAAGACGGATGTCAATGTGTTGTCTCATGAGGGAGTGAAAAATTATTTTACACCACTTCATGCTTATGTCCGCCGAAAGAATCTATGTTAAGAAATGGTATTACATCAGTCCAAGAAGTTTTTTCTGGGAAAAAAGTTAAAAAATCCAATTTAATTTTTTCACTGAACTGTTGAGTTATTTACTGAACCGTTCAATGTTTATTCTTTTTTAAATCATACAGATGAAAAAGGACAGTTGACATAGCAGCTCAACAGGGGAGTCTGTTGAATACAGGAATTATAATTTTTGTTTACAATTTCAGACAGATTATTTGTTGTGTCATTTTCACATTTTTTTGCTGCTTTAAAATGAAATTCTTCAAATTTAATGCTTACAATCTGTTATGTGCACAAAACATGTTATGTGTCATGGGATATCCACCTCAAAGAGAACCTAAATGATTAAAAGCCGTCAAAAATAAAACAATTTTCAATCTTTTTTTATTTGATGTCCGTAGAAACATTCATATATACATATTATTAGGAGAATTTCGCAACATAGAATTATTCTACGTGGTGAAGAGCAAAACTATTTAAAATTAATGTGCATAATTTGTAATTTGAAGTAGTATTCACCTTTGTACCTGATAGATTGACCCTTGTCAAAATTAGTCAACTTCATCATCGTCTTGCAGTCCTTTCTTCCCATTTAGAATGTCTTGTATTTTTAAAAATGTTATCAATGTGTTCTATTTTTCCCATAAGTACCAGTGCAAGACGGTGTAAAATGATTTCTCCCTCCCTCATAAGACAACACATTGACCTCTGTCTTGCAGCCCATTATCCCCTCACAGTACGTCTTGCATCAGTATCCAATGGCTATTCTACATTCAAGCTTTAATCTAAATCAACAATTGAGTGGTGTGAAATGATATTTCACCCTCTGAAAAATTGACAATTTCTATCTAATATTACAACCCGAAAACCCCCAGGAAAATGTCTTGCATAGGGTATTCTAATTTTGTTTGTGTACAAATTAACTTAATAAGTAAATGCAAGACGGTGTGAAATTGTATATTTTCCTGGATTATGACGACATTTTCTCAAACATTTTTATCAGCTAAATTCCCCACTCCCATATATTTCACTGCGCAAGTGCGTTTCAGCATCATGTTATCTAACTGATGATTACAATGCAAGACGGTGTAAAATGATTTGATGAAATAGGCCTCGTATCCCGTACTACCTGATATGTCCATGTATTAATAGATCTTTCTATGTACCTAAAATGTGTTTTTTTTTTAAGATAAAAGTCAAATTGACATTATGTTGGCAATATAATGTAAAATTGTCAATGCCAGAGATAAATACTATATAAACTGTCGAGAATGGAATCTCAGTGTAAATTTTGTTGTCAACAAAATTGAGCCAAGCCAGCGCCATCTACCACATCGGAAAATCACTATTTACTGGTTTTGCATCGATGCTACAGACACCTACTTTACATAGGACTTTTTATGATAGATGGCACCCTGTTCGCATTACTGTCGGTCTGTTCAAATTCGTTTTTTCTAGACTTTGGGGCATTAATGTTTGCCTAAATTAATTGATAATTTGTTAATTAGTTCAAAAGACAGTTTCTTTATCGATGGTTAAGGGATCCTTAACATATTTATTCAAAGTTCTGATTGATGTTTAATTGATCCTGTCATTTATCTAATCAACAAAAATAAAAATAGATCTTCCAATCTATAAAGTTTGAAGTTCTTCTTGAAACACACAAAACAACTTTGAAATCACTTAAGAACACTTGACAACACAAAGAAAGATGAAATGCAAGACTGACATTGACATTATGAATTATTAGTTATGATCAAATGAATATTTTGGCATATTGTCATATGTTGACATGTCAATCTCATGTCAATGTTATCGACATTGGATGTGTTCTTGATGTACTGGTATTTTCCAATTTTGACAATTCTGTGGTTGTTAGCGACATCTAGAAAAACGGAAAAGAGTTATTATGTGGTTTATAACTGGCAATGAGAGATCGCAGGGCCTGGTCAATGCTTTCAAATTTTTTATGTAGAAAAGGCTTGTGTTGCCAACATACTTACTAAATTTTTGACTTGACTGAAAAAAACAGACTTTAATAACAAGTTAATAGAGAGTTATTGGAAGTGAAATAAGGTCCAGTAGTAATAATACAAACGCTATATTGACATCTGCGCTTGCGCAGTTGCGCCGTTGAATAAGGCTAGTTTTATTTACGTTTGTGCTAGATTTTATTACTGCACAAATAAAGTCACGCACTAATAATATAATTTGCCCTTATTTTGACTTTTTGAATTGAATTTGTCAGCAAAGCAAAGGCGTCAGTAAGTAAAGTAAGGTTAGAAATAGAATTAAGGAACAGCCGTATCTTGACGTGTTCGTGATCGTGAACAATAACTGTATTTTCCAGCCGCATTTAGGTAAAGCGCTATTTAAATAAGGTAGTTGCCTTATTAGTGCTAGCTTTATTATGAAATCGCCAATAATTCTCTATTGTCAACTATTTCCATGTATTGTCGTCTGATTGAATATTTCGCAAATAAAACAGTGTTTCAAAAGGAACAATAATAATTAAGTATTAGGCAATTCAATCCATCTGTCAAAATGGAAAATTCAATATGGCGTGGCGGCCAAGCAAGTTTGTTTTGATTATTCTGGTGTTTTCGGCCGGCAGTATTAACAAAATATTTCCACATATTATTGCCAGGTATTTTACATATACCATGCTATCATAGAATCATGCTATTGACAGACTAAAATCAAATATTTGTCTTGCCAGAATTCTAGGTATTGACATATCAACAAGTATTTACATGTTATTAATGGGTATCAACCAATAACATTAGGTAACATGTATTGCCTAAATATCTTAAGTCATAGTTACCTACTAAATTTTTGACTTGGGGAATTATCTTTAAAAAAAAAAACAGATTTTACAAGTATTGACATATATCACCTACAGTCATGAGCATAAAGAGTGGGACACCCGTTTTTTCCTATTGTGAAAGGAGCTCATCAGCTTTACCTACGGCAATGGCAGGGATTGTCATATTTGACAAAAAATCCATTGTTGAGAAAAGACCGATTTACCCAAAATAGCGAAAAATGGCAAGACCTGTCAGTCGGGTGTCCCACTTTTTATGCTCACGACTGTACATGATAATTAACAAATAGGTATTGCATAGTATTGACACTATTGACATAGTATTTACCTGGTATTGACATATATTAACCAGTATGATTTGTACACCGACTAACAAGGTGAAAACCCCCTCGGCTATTCTATATCATTGGACATTCATTCCTCTACCCTAAATATTTGTATTTGTAATACACAATTTTTGAAGTTAGTTGGTCACTGTTCAAAATCTATTCCAGATTGGTATAATAGGAGGATCAGGATTAGACAATCCCGACATACTCAAAAACAGATCAGAAAAACGAGTAACAACCCCATTTGGACCGCCTTCTGATGCCTTAATTGAAGGCGACATTGAAGGCATCCCTGTTATAATTCTAGCCAGGCACGGAAGAAACCACGATATCATGCCAAGTAATTTTCCCCTTAAACATTTACAAAATTTACAATTTTCCATTACAGCCAACGTAAACTATAGAGCCAATATATGGGCCCTTAAACAAGAAGGTTGCACCCATGTGATTGCCACTAATGCGTGCGGGTCTCTTCAAGAAGAAATCGCTCCTGGGGATTTGGTGGTGATTGATAATTTTATTGATAGGACCACCAAAAGGCAGCAGACATTCTATGATGGTGATGAAAATCATCCCAAAGGTATTTGCCATATGCCAATGGAACCTGCAGTTTGTTTGCATACTAGAAAAGTTATTTTGGAAACTGCTAAAGAAGTTAATTTGAAAGTCAGGGATGGTGGTACTATTGTTGTAATTGAAGGTCCTAGATTTTCTAGTAAAGCTGAAAGTATGCTTTATAAAAGTTGGGGAGCGCACTTGGTTGGAATGACTTCTGTACCAGAGGTTTAAGAAACAATGATTTATATGTGGCTTATTATAAAAGCTTATTTTTTTAGGCAGTTTTAGCTAAAGAAGCTGGTCTATGCTATGCAGTTATAGGCATGGCCACAGATTATGACTGCTGGAGGGACACTGGCAATAAAGTATCTCACAAATACGTTCTGGAGATTTTTCAACAAAATGTCAAAAAAGTCTTACAAATACTGTTGGCTCTGGTACCTAGGATGGCTAAAGAGGATTGGGCAAATACTGTACAAGAAGCACAAGTAAGAATTTGCATTTTTGACAATAATATAATAATTTATATTTGTGTGTTTTTTTTTAGACTCTTGTAAAGGACAGTGTTTATTTGCATTGTAACTGTAACACTGGAACACTGTAATTTGAGTCTCATGATTAAAAGCTTCTAGATATGTATTTTTTTTTGCATATTATACAGGGTGTTTGGAATAACTTGAAGTCAGGGTTGCCAAACAATTTTCTCTACTTTGATGGGTATTTCCATATAAAAATTAACACAGAAAAATCCTATTAAAATATTCAAAAGAGAAGAAAAAAGCTTTCTAAAATGTTGAAAGTTCAGAAGTGTTCAAAATTCAATTGCCTATCCAGTATTATACAATAGGCCAGATTGTTGCCCACCCTGCTTGAAGTAGATTCATACATAGGGATTTCCGAAACTATTAAAGATACAGGGGGAAGAAGTTTCTCTCTGGGATTATTTTGACCTTCACTATGCTAACGAAAGGGTGAGGCTAAAAATGAAGTTTTTTTACTTCAATAAAAGTTTTTATATTTTCCAGCATTTTACAATTAATTGAACACATTGTTTTTTACATAATTAATTAATTTCATAAATTATTAACATTTAAAAAGAAATAATATTTACACGACATAGCAATTGCACAAATTTAGAGTTACAAATTATCTACAAGAAATTCTCAATGACCAAATTGAAAATTCAAATACTATTGGTATCTATGGCATTTTGTTTACTGGTGGACAACAATTGTCCGGCTTCCGTACACGATCTGCAACAGAATTTCGCGTAGTACTTGTGATTGCAAAATTGCGCTTTCACTATCAGCTTGCAGTTGGCAAAGAATTGATTGTCTGTACAACTTGGATGAATGTACATTCCTGAAATAGAATCAATGTTGAGTAATTTAAAATTTAGGAGTTTTATTAAAAAGGGTACCTTCTATTAGGATTTCTATTGAAGTTGCTGCTTTTGAGTATTGATTGGTTGCTTCGCACTGGTACCTGCCAGAATCTGATTTTTCCGCAGATTTAATTGTCAATGTATGAGTGTCTGATTCAGATATTTTGTCGTTTGGTTCCAAGGCTATTCCGTCTTTGTACCATTGCACTTGTGGTTGTGGGTAACCGTACACTTCACAATGAATTTCTACATTACTTCCTGTAGGGTAGTTTTGTTCGTTTGTTGTTATATTTGCTCGGACTGGGACTGTGAAATATTAAAACGGTTAGAATTATTATAAAGATAAACTGAGACAGGGCAGCAACTAGAACTCTCAGCACCTAAGGCCAATCAAAATTTTGGTGCCTATTCCCCTCCCCATCGCTGTCTTGAAAACAAAATATCCATTTGATGCTATAGTTTTGACGTTTTGACCCCCCCATTGTAATTTGACTCAATAAAAATAAGTCACTGTATAAAGATATCTTTACAAGTGATCAATATTTTATTATTCTCGGCTCTTGTAGGAAATCTTTTACGAAGGCCGAAAACAACTTCACCACTGTGTAGAAATACAAGGTGATCAATATATTATTATCTCTGGCTCCTTATGTAGAAAATCCTTGACGAGAGCCGGTAATAGAAAACAATTCTACCCACTGTAATTTGACTCAACAAAAATAAGCCACTGTGTAAAGATACAGAGTGATCAATATTTTATTATTCCCAGCTTTTGTAGGAAATCTTTCACGAAAGCTGGTAATCGAAAAAAATTCCACCACTGATGTGTAGAAATACAAGGTGATCAATATGTTATTATCTCTGGCTCCTTATGTAGAAAATCTTTGACGAAAGCCGGTAATAGAAAAAAATTCTACCCACTGTAATTTGACTGAACAAATATAAATCACTGTATAAAAATAGAGGTGATCAATATTTTATCATTCCCGGCTATTGTAGGAAATTTTTCACGAAAGCCGGTAATCGAAAAAAATTCCACCACTGTGTGGAAATACAAGGTGATCAATATATTATTATCTCTGGCTCCTTATGTAGAAAATCTTTGACGAGAGCCGGTAATAGAAAACAATTCTACCCACTGTGATTTGACTCAACAAAAATAAGCCACTGTGTAAAGATACAGAGTGATCAATATTTTATTATTCCCAGCTCTTGTAGAAAATCTTTCACGAAAGCCGGTAATCGAAAAAAATTCCACCACTGTGTAGAAATACAAGGTGATCAATATATTATTATCTCTGGCTCCTTATATAGAAAATCTTTGACGAGAGCCGGTAATAGAAAAAAATTCTACCCACTGTAATTTGACTGAACAAATATAAACCACTGTATAAAAATAGAGGTGATCAATATTTTATCATTTCCGGCTATTGTGGGAAATTTTTCACGAAAGCCGGTAATCGAAAAAAATTCCACCACTGCACTGTGTGGAAATACAAGGTGATCAATATATTATTATCTCTGGCTCCTTATGTAGAAAATCTTTAATGAGAGCCGGTAATAGAAAAAAAATCTACCCACTGTAATTTGACTGAACAAATATAAACCACTGTATAAAAATAGAGGTGATCAATATTTTATCATTCCCGGCTCTTGTAGGAAATTTTTCACGAAAGCCGGTAAACGAAAAAAATTCCACCACTGTGTAGAAATACAAGGTGATCAATATATTATTATCTCTGGCTCCTTATGTAGAAAATCATTGACGAGAGCCGATAATAGAAAAAAAATTCTACCCACTGTAATTTGACTGAACAAATATAAACCACTGTATAAAAATAGAGGTGATCAATATTTTATCATTCCTGGCTCTTATAGGAAATCTTTCACGGAAGCCGGTATTCGAAAGCAATTCCACCACTGTGTAAAGATACAGGGTGATCAATATATTATAGTCCGTTGCATGGTTCTTGAGCTACGACTAATGAATAGACAGAGGGAACAATGGGCTATTGCTGCGTTGTCATATCAATAATATTTATTATTACATGAAAATGAAGGAAATTTTATTGCAATTTTCATGTATTAATAAATATTATCGATATGACAACGCAGCAATAGCCCATTGTCCCCTCTGTCTATTCAGTAGCCGTAGCTCAAGAACCATGCAACGGACTATATTATCTCTTACTCTTAATGTGAAAAATTTACCCACTGTAATTTGACTGAACAAAAATAAACCACTGTATAAAAATAGAGGTGATCAATATTTGACCATTCCCGGTTCTTGTAGGAAATCTTTCATGAAAGCCGGTTATCGAAAAAAATTCCACCACTGTGTAAATGTACAGGGTAATCAATATATTATTATCTCCGGCTCCTTATGTAGAAAATCTTTGACGAGAGTCGGTAATAGAAAAAAATTCTACCCACTGTAATTTGACTGAACAAAAATAAACCACTACTGTATAAAAATAGGGGTGATCAATATTTTATCATTCCCGGCTTTTGTAGGAAATCTTTCACGAAAACCGGTAATCGAAAAAAATTCCGCCACTGTGTAAAGGTACAGGGTGATCAATATATTATTATCTCCGGCTCCTTATGTAGAAAGTCTTTGACGAGAGCCGGTAATAGAAAAAAATTCTACCCACTGTAATTTGACTGAATAAAAATAAACCACTGTATAAAAATAGAGGTGATCAATATTTTATCATTCCCGGTTCCTAGGAAATCTTTCACGAAAGCCGGTATTCGAAAGCAATTCCACCACTGTGTAAAGATACAGGGTGACCAATATTTATTATCCCTGGTTCTTAATGTAGAAAATCTTTGAAGAGAGCCGGTGATAGAAAACAATTTTACCCACTGTAATTTGACTCAATAAAAAAAAGCCACCGTGGAAAGATACAGAGTGATCATTATTTTATTATTCCCGGCTCTTGTAGGGGTTCTTTCACAGAAGCTACCACTGTATAGAGAAACAGAGTGACTAATATTTTGCCTATAGTTCGCCACCCCTCTAGTTGCGGCCCTGGAACGGAAACTGAATAATCATTCATAAATCCCAAAGAAAAAATCTGTACACTCAGCATTAGATTTTTTTATGAATGATCATCAGCCTTTTAAGTATAAGTAAAATTATTGATCTAAAGCCTAATTTACGTTGGTCAAGTATAGATTCACTGCTAAAATAATCCAATGTAAACCATGCCCAATATGTTGTTAATAAGAGTCTACTTCAATACACCACAAACATGCAACCATTCTAAAAACTACTTCAAACAAAATCTACATTACCAATATACACCGAATCAGGTACGTGTCCTTCAGCTTCAGGCACCAAATGCGGGAAAATCTCGTTAGGATCCACCAAATCCGGACTAGGCTCAGTGGAATATTGCGGAGGTATATAAGGCTGAGGAGTGGGTCTTTGAACAGGAGGATACACAATGGAAGACGTGACTGCTGCTTCAGGCGGATTCACAACGTACTGCATGTATTTAACGTCAGCCGGATTTGTACTGTAGTACGGCCCTTGCGCGCGCACCGTGACAGACCAACTGGCCGCTTTGCCTTTGCCGTTGTACGCTTGGCAAGTGTACACTCCCAAGTTGCGCAATTGCACTGAATGGACCAATAGGGAATAGTCTTTGGTGACTTCGAATTCGCGATTTTTCAACGGGATTAGTTCGTCTTCTTTCCACCAGGTTACGGCTGGCATTGGCCAGCCCAAAGCGTAACAATACAGTGTCGCAGGCGAGTTAAATGATGTTACAATATTGCTGATTAGAAGTTCAGGATCTTGTCCGTTTAGAATTGTTACTGGACGATCGATGGTTGAATCTATAAGAAGTTAGTAAATACTACACTACAACAACAAAACCACCACTAAATGTTATAAGAAAGGAAAAAATTGTTAATATTTTGCTAGTTTTACACACAAAAAAATATTTGTTACCTTGCACTTCAAGCTTGATTTGATTTTGTATAGGAGCCCCAATAGCATTGTCAGCAGTACAAAGGTAGACTCCCGAATCAGTTTTGTGCAGGGTAATTATTTGAAGTGTCTGATCCAATCTGATCCTGTATCTCGGTTGGGTACCGTCAATCTTAAACAAATTATTGATGCATAATTCAAAACACAAATTCATATTGCTTACCATCATGTTGTCTTTGCTCCAAACAATTTTCGGATTAGGATTTCCACTCACAGCGCAATTGAGAATAGCTTGATCCCCTAACATAGCTGACACTTCAGGTTCGTAAATTTCTACATCAATCTTTGGTGGATAATCTAACATTTTGCATTATTAAAATTTTAATTATTACTGTATTTGAGGTACTTACAAATATCGACTTGTGGCGCCGAAGTGTAACCAGGTTGACTGGTTTGTGTAACTAGTTCTAGTGGTTTTTCGGGTTCTACGCAGGCAGTACCGCAACTTGTGGCGCAGCATTTGAGATGTAAAGTACAATCGGCGTCCGTTCTACATTCGATGTCGCAATTGGTGTCTTCGGTTGTTGGGTAGGGACAATGACCAGTTTTGTTGCCTGAAATTTAGTAGAAAATTGAAAAATGTCAAGGGGTAAAGCGTATCCTCCTGAATTTGTGCAAATAATTCCTCAAAATACCCGCAAATTCTCTATAAATTCGTACAAATTCATCGATTTTTTTCCAAAATGACATTGAACCACGTTTTACCTCACATCTTTGTTATTACCAATCCGATCTTAACATGATTTGGCTTGAAATGAAGCTAATTAAATCCTTCACAAATTCCTTCAATGCAACTTTAAAAGAATACTTAACTTAACTAAACTATGTTCTCAGGTATCCTGCCCGTAAGCAAGTTTCCTTCTTTCTAAGAAGAGGTCCAAAAGAATTAATTAGTTCCTGAACTTGGGACCAAGTGACAGATTCATATAGAAAACATTATTTATAACCGACACGAGTTTCAGCATTCTTCAATCGATGCGGCCATATTATTGTTGACCCCCAATAATCAAGGAAATTGCGACAAGAAATAATTATATTTCTTAGAAATAGTGGGAGGCGAATTTAAGTCAAATTATCTGAAATAAAGCAAGTTCATGGTGGGACCAAATAGTAATTAAACAATCAAGTCGAGAGGACAGCAACAGCAGTCTAGAGTTGCAAGTGGAAGAGTAAACCAGTAAACGGTCATTGAATTTCCACTTAGAATCTTTTATTTTCAACCGCATATGTAATGTTGTTATTATAGACTTTTTCCTTTGATTAAAACTAGAAATCTTACTTTCTCTGCAAATAGCAACAAAGTCAGCATCGAGCGGTGACGTTTTGTTCCTGTTCAAATCGATACCGCACTGCGTGCCTTCTGGACACTCGAAGTCTTTGCAAGGATCCCTGCATCTACAGCCATTACAATCGTTTTCGTCTACGTAAGCTTCAATACCATAAGGACATCTCAGATTAGTGCACTCTTCAAATTTCACTTGGCATTCTCGTCCGATTTCCGGTACAACAACAGCTAAAATTAATACCAAATAATGAATGTTATTGAAGAAACAACATTTATACAATTATACGCATTATTATGATGGCATTACTGATTATGAATTGGTAAGTACAATATGGCTGATGAATGTCAAAAGCAAGCAACGAAACATTTTTTTCCATCAACTTACAAGATTCAGTGTACGGTAAGAAATCTTTACAATAGTCGAGACACGACTGGAAAGTTTTAAAGTTGTTCAAATTACCACCGCAGCCGCTAAATATAAAAGCTTTACATTCGCCTTGGGTGTTATCGAAGTACCAACGCTTCAAATTGCTTTCTAGGCAAGAGCCTTGATCGGCTGACAGTTGGCAGACTTCTACATTTGAAAATATTAAGTATACGTTTTTTGAAAATGTGTATGCTTACCTGCGGCAGTTAAAGTAGGCTTTGGTTCCTCAGGGGGTTTACAGTAATGGGCACATTCCTCAGGGGAAGTAAATCTGTTGCCATTTCCTAGACAACCTCCATAAGTGAATTGCTTGCATTCGCGCGAATATCTGTCGTAGTAATATTTGCTAACACTTGCTCTACATGGGCCAGTATCTTGATCCAGATTACATATATCTGTAAAATAGTTGATTAATATTATTTTTGCCTATACTATATGAGAAAACATTTACCTTGTCCTCTATAATCTCCACACTGTCTATGACAATCCTCTTCACTATAGAACCTATTCCTATTTCCTCCACATCCAGTGTAGGCAAAAGGCTTGCAACCTCCTCCACGAATATCATAGTAAAACGCTTGATACTGTTCAGTACAATTACCAGGATCAGCATCTTCATAACATTGAGTATCATAAGTTGGTGGTCCTCTAGTAATGTAAGATTGTTGTGGCACTACCCTAGTTGAACCACAATATTGCAAACAAACATCTTCGGTTTCAAAGTTGTTATAGTTGCCGCCACAACCTCCATAAGTAAAGTTTTTGCAAATACCCTCAACACCATCGTAATAATAGTGATTTGAATGGTCGTTGCACGGGCCTGGATCGGGCGACATCGAACAAATTTCTTCTAGAGTTGGCTGCCTGGCAGTCGGACTAGGAACTTGAGGTGTTGGTAAAGGCCTCTGAGTTTGTCGTTGTTGTGGTTCAGGTGCTGGAGGTGTAACTGGTGGTTCTGGTTCGGGCCTGTTACAAGATTGTTCGCATTCTTGTTGCGATTGATAATTATTGCCGTTGCCACCGCATCCTCCGAAGTAGAATTGGTTGCATTTTTTGTATCTGGTGTCCCAGTACCATCTAGTGACGTAGTTGCCGCATTCACCAATGTCGGCAGGTAAATGACAAGTGTCTTTAGCTATTATACATAAAACAAAAAATAGTTATTTATGCAACAAGTGTGTAAAGTGAACCTTTTTTCACGAATGTGAATTGTGACGCACGAGCCGAAGGCGAGTGCGACAATCACATAAGTGAAAAAAGGTGCTTTACGCACGTATTGCATACAAAATTTTTTCTACTACCAATCAAATATGTGTAAAAAAATAAATTCGGACAAATACTTTACGCACTAGTGCGTGAAGAATTTTCACTTTACGCACTAGTGTGTGAAGTAATTTACCAGAAAAATGCCAAATTGACAGTGTTGACATCTGTCATTGACATTACTTTACGCACTAGTGTGTGAAGTGAATTACTTTACGCACTAGTGCGTGAAGTGAAATTTTACATCTTCTGAATAGTGCGTAAAGTGAGTACTTTACGCACGGTAGTAGAAAAATATATTTTTGGCAATTTGTGATTACATTATGAAAATCTCCCCTTACCAACTTCATTAGGGCAATCTTTCTTGCATGCATCTTTACTGTAAAAACTATTTTGATTCCCATTACAACCGGTATAATAGAAAGGCAAGCAACGTTGATGTTGTGCTCCGTAGTACCATTTGGCTTCCTGTGACGTGCAATTACCCTCAGCCTTTGGAATCGTGCAATAATCTAACGAGCACTAGTTGTTAGTATTATATAGATTCAATCTAATTTTGTTAGTTTGGTAGGGTGTTATTTGTGATAGAATTGTTCTAGATTGTTATAGAAATAAATTCTGTGGGGTGACGAAGGGTGACAATTTACTCAAATTTCCATTAAGATATGAGCAAAAATTATTCCTAACCTTGTCACTTAGCTCTCCACAGAAAACATAATTCTGATTCACTTACCAGATTGAGTTAGTATAATTTGCATTAAACCTACTCTATATATAATTAACTTACTTCTCTTTTTACCAGGAGTCGCACACCTTTGATTGCAAGCCTCCAAAGTGGCAAAATTATTATTGTTACCTCTACAACCACCATAGTAAAACTCTTGACATTGTCCCGATATTTTATCGTAAAAGTATTTTCTGTGTTGTCCACGGCAAGGACCTTCTGCTTTAGATTGTTCACACGGATCTAGACAATTTAAATTAATATTTACCTCAACAAAAACACACACAATTCTTACCAGCATTAGTATCTTTAGCACAAAGATCGCTGCATTCCTCTCTAGTCTCAAACTTGTTATTATTACCAAGACATCCACCATAAATAAACTGAGAACATTGTTTAGCTTGTTTGTCAAAGTACCATTGCAAAAAGTACCCGTCGCAAGAACCATTAACTCTGGGCAAATTACATCTTTCAATTCCTTGTGGCTTAACGCAAACTCCTTCACATTCCTCTTTGCTTCTAAATCTGTTATCATTTCCATCACATCCACCATACCAAAACCTTGAACAACCACCATAGGACATGTCAAAGAACCATTTTACCGTGTAGTTTCTGCATGGACCGCGATCTTTAGGTAACGAACATGATTCTTGGTGATCTACAAGAAGCTCTTCACAACCTTCAAAGTTGTCTCCTTTAGCTTCAGTAACACCATCCAAACAACAACCGTATTTGCTAAGATCGCAAGTGCAACCTTGTTGATCTGGTCCTCTGGCTGTAGTTTTGTCATCACCGCAACAACCAAATTCACTTTGCCTACAGTCACAACCTAAATCACATATAAGTAGTCAGTTTTATATTACTTAGGTATTATTAAATTGTCTCACCATTAACATCAACCCACCAACAAAGAAGCATTATTGTAAAAATACAAGATATTATTTATTTTTTTAAAATTATGTATAAAAATTACCTTGTTGATGTGGTCCTTGTGCAATAGCAATACCATCAGGACAACAACCAAACTGGTAAGTATGACAAAGACATCCTTGGTAATCTGGCCCAGAAGCCGGTGTAGAGTCATCAGGACAACAGCCAAATTGGCTGTATTTGCAGCCGCATCCTTCATTGTTGTAGCCTAAAAAAAAAAACAACTTTAATTTTAATAATGGAAAAATCCACACTTATTACCTTCTGCTGGTGTAATTTTATCAGGACAACACCCATAGGGTGAGTATTGACAATCGCATCCGTCTCCGTTGGGTCCTCTTGCAGGTGTAATATCGTCTGGACAACAGCCGAAGGCCGATTTGAGGCAGCAGCCTTCTCCTTTGTAGCCGTGGGCTGGAGTTTCCTTGTCTGGACAGCAACCATAAGGACTGTTTGAGCATGGCATGTTGCAGCCTTGATATTGCGGACCTGGAATATCAATAGCAAATTGGAAATTCGGAAATTTGAAAAAAGTAATACAATCAGAAGTGAGGGCGATTTTTCCAGGCTGAGCTGGCTTGGAAAGCATTTGGATTTCCGTGTAGGTATCTCCTCCAAACCTCCATATACAATAATAATCACGGTATCAGTTGAAACGATTTGCGCTTTTCCGACAGCCGAAGTTCATAGTTCTCCACATAGGTATTCCTACCAGATCTCCATGCATCTCCACCGGATATCCATAGATTTCTACAGATTTCCACGGATCTCCATCACATAGGATAGAAAATGTCCACAGTGGTTACCCCTTTTTCCAGTGAAAAACAACTCCATGGGAAAATAATGAAAATCAACTCATTTGGACCTACAGTATCAGAGATAGAATACCTTATGATTTAGATTTTGGAAAATTTTGAAAGGTCATCATTTTTTTTTCTATTGTAGATAGAAAGGTGAAACTTTCACTAAATTATATCCCAGGCAAGGGACTACAATTCCTGAAAATTTCAGCTCATTTGTTCTTATAGTTCCTGAGATAAAATCGTGTTAAGCAATTTAGGGTGATTTATCAATTTTTCTGAGTGTCCTTTTTCATAGATTTCGGCTTCAAACCTGAGAATAATTTAGTGTATGGAGTTTGGGGGATCCCAAAGGACCATTGGGCGACAAAATCTCAACAAAATTTTTTTTGAAATTTCATCGTTCTAGTAAGAAGGTGCTACCTTATAATTTAGATTTTGGAAAACTTTGAAAAGTCATAATTTTTTTTTTATTATAGATAGATAGCTGAAACTTCCACTGAATTTTATCCCAATCAAGGGACTACAATCCCTGAAAATTTCAGCTCATTTGCATTTATAGTTCCTGAGATACAATCTCGTTAAGCAATTTGGGGTGATTTGTCAGTTTTTAAATTTTTCTGAGTGCCTTTTTTCATAGATTTCGGCTTCAAATCTGAGAATAATTTAGTGTATGGAGTTTGAGGAATCTCAAAGGACCATTAAGCCACAAAATTACGACAAAAAAAAATTTGAAATTTCATCGTTAGAGTAAGAAGGTATTATAATTAGATTTTGGAAAACTTTGAAAAGTCATAATTTTTTTTCTATTATAGATAGAAAGGTGAAACTTTCACTGAATTTTATCCCAGTCAAGGGACTACGATCTCTGAAAATTTCAGCTCATTTGCACTTATAGTTAACGTGACCATACATCCCGTTTTCAACGGGACCGTCCCTTATTTCGGCTCTCCGTCCCGGTGTCCCCGAGAAACACTGCGGGACGCAAAATTGTCCCGTTTTCGTAAACCCCGTGTTATATGCTTAAATTTCACTCCAGTCTGGACTAGAGTGTTCGGTCAACAGCTCACCTGGTTGTCTTATAGCGAATTTTATTGGTGGAACCCTTGCAGAAAAATGTATTTTTATCTCTTTCTTATACAAGCTGATAGAAAAGAGTACGAATACACTCAGTGTGCACTAACCCTTCCAATGGAATTCGCTATTAAGTTGTTCACGAAATATTTTTGTCTGTTGTATAATAATATAGATTGTAGTTTGCAGTGGTAACTAAATCCGAAGTGTTTTCTTTTGGAATATTATTTAATTATGTCGAAACGCAAGTGTACAGGGTGTCCAAGATTCGATGATTTTGGGGGTTTCAGGTATTTCTAAAAGAGTTGGAATGTTGGTAAAAATCTGACCCCCGCTTGCGAGCCTCGATTTTCAAGAGAAATTGACTGGTGAAAACCGCATCTCGATATGTGGCGTCGTTTTTATGCTATGAGGGGTTTTTGAAAAGTTTGGAGTTTGGCAGGGGGGCTATAACTTTTTTATTTATGGAAATTTGGTCAACTTTTTTCCTTGCAGTTTAAAAACGAATTGAGACATTGAGATGCGGGTTTCACCGGTCAACTTTTCTTGAAAATCGAGGCTCGAAACCTCACCCAAAACCTGTTAAAATCATCGAATCTTGGACACCCTGTACGTTCAATGTTAATTTACGAGCTAAATACCCGTTTATTAAGCAAAGAAATACTTCCTATGTCAAATACGAGAAATGTCGCACAGAATTAAAGTGTTTCTCATTGTCCCTCATTCCCGTTTGTCCCGTTTTGAGTTCACAAATAAATGGTCACGTTACTTATAGTTCCTGAGATAAAATCGTGTTAAGCAATTTGGGGTGATTTATCAATTTTTCAATTTTTCTGAGTGCCTTTTTTCATAAATTTCGGCTTCAAATCTGAGAATAATTTAGTGTATGGAATTTGGGGGATTCCAAAGGACCATTAGGCCACAAAATCTCAACAAAAAATTTTTTGAAATTTCATCGTTACAGTAAGAAGGTACCTTATAATTTAGATTTTGGAAAACTTTGAAAGGTCATAACTTTTTTTCTATTATAGATAGAAAGCTGAAACTTTCATTGAATTTTATCCCAATCAAGGGACTACAATTCCTGAAAATTTCAACTCATTTGCACTTATAGTTCCTGAGATAAAATCGTGTTAAGCAATTTGGGGTGATTTATCAATTTGTCAAAAAGGGAAAATTATGAAACTTTTAGGATGAAAAGAGAATTATTAGGAGCTCATTATACTAAAATTTCAAAAACAACACCATAAGAATGCCATTATGAGAAACACATCTAGAAACTCTCATCAATTTCCAATATTAGAAAGAGGATCCCTGATAAGGAATTTTCAAATTCATTACCAATAACTATGGAGAATATGTGACAAGGATTTGTGTATTTGCACTCAAAATTGTCACCTAACGAAGCACAAACTACAGATACGAAAATATATAGAAAAAAACATTAATTTCATTTACCTTGAGCTGTAGATCCATCAGGACAACATCCATAATCACTTTCTTTGCAATCCTCAAATGACACAGTTGTCGATTCAATTGAAGGCTCTGTAGTTCCTTCTTCTTCTGGCTCGCAGCCTTTTTGTTTAGGACCTTGAGCTTCTACAACAAATTACCTTATAAAATCAAACATATTATAATATGTATCTACCTGTAGTATTGTCCTTACAACATCCCCATTTAGAATCGAGGCAAGCTGGTGGTTTGGGTGGACAACCTTCTTCATCATTCCCTTGAGCGGGGGTTTTCTTATCCCAGCAACATCCGAACAGCGTTTCGTTGCATTGGCTGGACGGACAACCTCGGTTTTTGGGTCCCAAAGCTGCCGACACACCATCTGGACAGCAACCAAATGTGGATTCCTTGCAAGTTTTTGGAGTTGGACAACCTTTATCGAATGGACCTTTGGCTGCGTGAATGTTGTCCCAACAACAACCGTATTGTGTCTTTTTGCATTGGAGGATTTTCTTTCTTTTGCACATTTTTTGTTGCTTTTTGAAGATGTCGGTTATGTGGGAGGTTGGCCAAGATGTTGTTGATTCATCGATTTCGGTTGTGGACGAGAAAATGTCGAATTCGGTACTTCCAGTAGACTCAGTAAATTCAGTCGTAGAACCACTAATTTCTGTTGTAGATGATTCACTTGATTCTGTTGACATAAATGTAGATTCACTGGTAATTTCTGTAGATTCTTCACTGGTAGTTTCTGTAGATCCTTCACTAGTACTTTCTGTAGATCCTTCACTAGTAATTTCTGTAGATCCTTCACTAGTTGATATTGAACTTTCCTCTGTTGATTCTGATAAACTAGAGACACTTGTCGATTCACTTGTAGTAAATTCGGTGGTACCTTCACTTGTAGATTCAGTGGAACCTTTACTAGTTGTAGTTTCATCTGCAGCAAGCGCTCTCGGAGGTGGAGTGGCTGCTTCCGCACCAGGCTCTTCTTTTATACTTGGAGTTTCACTACTTTTACTAAGCTCAGTTGTAGTTTCAACTTCAACAGTACTTGAACTCTCAGAAGTTTCAGTGTTTTCTGTAGTTTCAGTTGATGAAGAGGATTCACTGCTTTCTAAAGTTTCTGTAGTGTCAGATGTTGAAGTTTCCGTGGTGATTGTTTCAGTAATACTGCTCAATTCTGATGAAGTAGTTTCTGATGAGTCTGTTGTAGAACTACTATCAGTTGTAGATTCAAATTCTGCAAATTAATTTGTAAAAATGTTGGTAAACTAGAAATAAAATTAGCAAAAAAAAAAATGTTATAAAGCAAAATTCTGTTAAGTACCTTTGCACCTACAGGCAAAGCATTCATTTTCATCGATAAAGGATTCTCTTTCGTAAGGACACTCGAGTGCAGCGCAAGCGTCAAAAGGTTCCTGACATTGATGTACTCCTAATAATGCTCCTATACAGATTTTGCTGTATTCATTTTTTTTAGTTTTTTTTTGCAATATTTTACCTGTTGAAGAGCTGCCACCTTCTGTAGTAGAACCAGATACTTCAGTTGTTGAACCAGATACTTCAGTTGTTGAACCAGATACTTCAGTTGTTGAACCAGATACTTCAATTGTTGAACCAGATACTTCAATTGTTGAACCAGATACTTCAATTGTTGAACCAGATACTTCAGTTGTAGAAGCAGATGCTTCAGTTGAACCAGAAATTTCGGTTGTGGTAGTTTCTCCTTCAGTCGTACTAAGACTTGATAAATCAGAAATAATGGTTGTGGCCATCGATTCTGATGCCATTGTACTAATTTCAGATGAACTATAATAAATAAAATAAATAAATTTTATAAATATTATTGCTTAGGTACCTGATGTATGAAACTGAGCTGCCTTCTTCATCAGTTGTAACAATTGATGACGGTTCAGTACCAGAACCTTCTTCTACAGTTGAAGTTTGACCATCTCCTGAGCCAGTTATTGGTGTTTCTTGTATTGTAGTACCATCACTCATCATTGTATCATATATGGAATAAGAAGATTCTAATGCCTCTGTAGTTCCAGTTGGAGATTCTTCTGTAATCTCGCTCATTGCTTCAGTTTCTTTAGGCTAAAACAATATATTGTGATGATCCAGAAATTTGACCCGATAATTACAAAGTCTTTACTGTAAAAATTAAATTTTATCAAATAATCAAAAACTTAATTTCGGTATTCTTAAATCAGTATCGATAAATTAAAAATGAAACAAATTAACGCTAACGTATCTCGACACCCAGCGTGATGTCATCCTAAAACCCGATCAATGAACTTTTTTGTTAACGAAGGCCATGCGTATCTAATTAATTCGAATGATATATGGCATTCTTGAACCCATAACGTTTTGACCTTAATAAATCAGAATATTGCGACATAATTAATCGTTTTCAGGCTAAAAATGATATAAAATTCCAAGGAAATTGCATCATCTTAATTGTCATGGACATTGAAATTTGGGTTGAACGATTTTATATAAATACGGCGTTTTAAGAAGGAGAAGACAGTTGCCAGTTAACAGTCCAGTTGAGTAAAAGTCTACAGAACCAAATGAGTTTGTCCGCTTGAAAATTCGCGAAGCTGCCTCGGGAAAACGCGTTCGATTTGAGTTAGAAAAAGTAGGAAAAATTGGGAAAGTAATAACATTTGAAATTCGTTCAATAATTATGTGCGGGCTCTAAGTAGTCAAAAGAATTAAATAAGATTAGTTTTGTGTGTTATGGCCAAAATGTAAGTACTCTATAGTGACAAGATTTATTTTTGAATGATGAACATGACTTTGTGTGAATTTTACTAGAAACACTTTTGACTTTTAATCACTGTGGAACTCTATTACATTAAACTTAATAACTCGAGTGTTTTATAAATGGAATATTATTGCATAACTTTAATTGTCTTCAGATATAATGACATATAATTGTGCAAAGAAAGTATGAAGGGATTTATAATGCTTTTACTAGAACATAAAAGGATGTCAAGGATTGGAAGATATTTGGCTGATTTTTGGGTTTTATGTAAAATAAAATTTAATTTAGTACACATCATTAGTTTGTTTCTTTCTCTTGCAAATAGACCCTTCCACAGATTAGATAGCAACTTCAAGTATATAAACACCATCAATATACCGTTCGCCATTTACTATCTAACTAATTTAAATAGAGTACTTGGGGCGTTTTGCTACAATATGTATTCAATAATCAATAATTATTTTAAAACATCTTACCATTTCCACTCCAACTACATTTACATCTACCCATTCTCCATCATCGCAGGTATCAGCTGGAACGATTTCATAATCATTATCATCTATAGTTTTATCAGACTCGGTAGCTTGGGGTTCAGTTGTAAAGTCAATACTTTTGGTTATTTCTGATATATCTGAGGCTGTCAAATCAGTTGCTCCTTCCTTGTCAGTGATAATGCTACTGCCAACAGTAGACTCTGCAGATTCCAAAGTTTCAGTTTCAGTTGTGACAACTTGTTCAGTAGTAGTTGGTTCTTGTAATGGTGTAGATTTGTCTTTATCAACTGGTAGTTCGGCATCTGGGAAAAATATTGTCAAGCAATCAAAAGGAAGGAACTTCAATAGCTATTTGTGGATTAAGAGCGGAAAGTGGTACTTTGCCGATCGACATAGGCGCCGGAATTTCAAAATTACTCGGGCTCCAAAAATTACCAGAAGTAGAATTAATTATACAGACAGGACTAGACTACTACACACATAGGCTTGAATGGGACCAGTTGGCAGATAACAATTTCATTGCAGGATCGTCACGCTGGATCATTGATCGTCCCTGCATATTAATAAAATTCGTGCATTTTCGGCAGCTCGGCTATATTCGGCAGCACCATTTGAGTAGCCAGGATTTTTGTCTTAAGGAGAGGGGGCAAATTTGTAGTGAGAAATCCTTGAAGCTCCGCCACAGATGCGAAATTTTGGTCTTTTTACGGTATTTTTGGGACTTTTCAGGGCGGCCGCTACCATGTGTGCAAAGTGTGCACCGCACACGGGCGGCCAAAAATAGGGGCGGCCAAAACAGACCCCACTGATAATACTTTTTTTTTCCAAACGGAAAAAATTAATTTAAATTAAATCACAATGACTCCAAAATTTATATGTATAACAATATCTATAGGGTGGTCCAGAAAAACCGGAATTTTGTTTTTGAGCTGTAACTTTTTTTATTGTTGACCAATTTCCTTTTGTCTAGGCTTGTTTGAAAGAAAAGTGAACAGGCTTATGAAGCAAATTGAAACTTTTGACATTTGAGAAAAATTCAGAATGGCGGACTTCTTCATAAATTACCTAGCTTTGGATAGCGGTGGAACTTTTTTGTTCCTCCCTGCATAACTTTTCTAAATAAAATCTCAAAGTTCATCATTTTGCGAACATTTTAAGACCCCGACAAGAAAAATCGGTTGAAAACTAAGAGAAATATTGAAATTTTTGTAAGATCGAATTTCATCTTTTTATATCCAAAACTAGGTAATTTTTGAAGTAGTTCGCCATTTTGATTTTTTTTTTTAAATTTCAAATGTTTCACTGTGATTCGTTAACTTCTTCAATTCTCTTTTAAACAAGCCAAAACAAACAAAAAAAAACTGGTCAACAAAAAAAAAGTTACAGCTCAAGAACAAAATTCCGGTTTTTTTTGAACCACCCTGTATTTTAAAAGCTTGTCTACATAGAAAATACTGCAAGGCATGCATTTTATTTAGGTATCTTTTTTTTTTTCATCTTAATCCAAACAAAAATATTATTATTAAAAATGGTCGGCAAAAAAAAAGTCGGGAAAAAAAAAGTTGGAAAAAAAAAGTCGGGAATAAAAATGGTCGAGAAAAATAAGTCGAGACAAAAAAGAATCGGGAAAAAGAAAGTCGGGAAAAAAGGAATTCGAAAAAAAAAAGTCGGGCAAAAAAAACTCGAGTAAAAAAAGTCGGGAAAAAAGAAATTCGGAAAAAAAATTCGGGACAAAAAAAGCCGGGAAAAAAGGGGAAAAAAAAGTCGGGAAAAAAAGGGGAAAAAAAGTCGGGAAACAAAAAGTCGGGAAAAAAAATACAAAAAGACCCCGCAATATTCAAATGGAAATTGGTTACCCGTGATATTTGGATGAAATTTAAATATGTTATTGGGGATGCCGTAAGCAACATTTTTCACCATGGGCACAATCCTGTATATATGACAGGTGAGGCGTGGTTAGATGTCAAATATCTTATATCCAAAAGCAGAGTAACTATGGCAGATTTTGATGAACAAAAAATCTATTTCTACTAAGTCGACCAAGTTAGGTCGAAAAATGTCAACCATTTTGACACCTGTCAAAACCCTGCCTGCATTCATCTTTTCCAGTTTTCAATATTTTATGATGTCATTTGACATTTTTAACTTGAATGTAAATTCTGAATTCAAAAATTGAAAAAAAAAAAATGAATGACAGAACTGTCATAATGACATCATTGTGGATTTGTAAGTGTCAAAATGTTTGAGTACTTTAATGATTTCATTATAGTACTGAGTATAATAATGATTTCATTAAAGTACTCAAAAAAAATCGCCAGTATACAGGGTGTCCCACGACGTTTCTCCCAGGTAATAACTTCGGAACGCGTCATCCACTATAATTGAAATTTTCAGGATCTGGGTAACTTTTTGTGCCACTTCTGCCACTATCATCCAATTTCACCAGTTTCGCTTGAATTTTGGTCAAGTGACGTCGTCTTTCGAATCTTAAATGTAACTCATGGTATATTATGACATTTTTCGTTAGAAAATTAAATTACAAAATCGGCAATGCCATTTTTGTTAAGGCTTTGTTGAAGAAAATGATGACAAATTATATAGTGGAACATACGATGATGCGTTCCGAAGTTATCATTTGGGAAAAACCTCGTGGGACACCCTGTATAAAATCCTTTATATTAAAACTATGTACTTTAAAATGAAAATTGACATCTCTGTAAAAATCTGAAACCTGCGTATAATGTTTTTTCATACGCTATCATAAATAAGCCCAACATAAATTGAAAAAGAACTAGATTTGATTTTTTTTGACAGATTCTGACAGCTGTCAAAATGTGGCGTGCATGAACTTTGTTCAATGTTTTATCACCAATAAACTACCTTAAAACGAGAAAGAACCAGATTAGAGTATTTTTTTCTACTAAAACAAATGACAGGTTTTGACAGTTCTGTTTTTTTTTTTCAATTTTTGAATTCAGAATTTACATACCTACAAACTAAAAATGTCAGATGACGTCATAAAATATTGAAAACTGGAAAAGATTAGTGCTGCCGTTTGGCAAGGTTTTGACAGGTGTCAAAATGGTTGACATTTTTCGACTTAACTTGGTCGACTTAGTAGAAATAGATTTTTTGTTTATCAAAATCTGCCATGGTTACTCTGCTTTTGGATATAAGATTCCAATATTTGACAGCTAACCACGCCTCACCTGTCATGTATACAGGGTTGTGCCCATGGTAAAAAATGTTGCTTACGGCATCCCCAATAACATATTTAAATTTCATCCAAATATCACGGGTAACCAATTTCCATTTAAATTAGAGGTGAGTTGCGATTTCACGAACTGTGATTTTGTCACTGCTACTCGTCTGTCACAGTCACGTCTTGCTCCAGTCCCACTCAAGTAGCAGTGACATTTTGTCACGGCCACTTCGATCTCTAACCGATACAGCGCAGACTAAACTCAACTTAAAGTGATGTAAATAATGAAATATTATTATAAATCACATTACGGTGACGCAAAACAGAAACTGCTACCGCAGAGGGCAGACTGGAACATTTCTCTCGGCCGTGATTGTAAACTGGGCGAACTGCGATTATGTAATGTACCATTTATATGTATTACCACCACGGCCAGTCAAGTCACTGCTATTTGTTACCGTGACACGACTGAAGCAGTCACCGTCTTGTCACAGTACCAGTAAAATCGCAGGTTGGCCCACCTCTAGTTAAAACCAACCCGGAGGTGATTCGATATTGAAAAATCGGCCCACAGGAACGAAAAAATGTAGCAACCCTGGCACAAAAATTGCAGCAACCCTGACGCAAACGTCAAAAAATTTGACATGTCACAGTCAAAGTAGGCCTTGTAATTTTTGACAATTAATTCAAAATGGCGTTTGTTTGTTTTTTGTTTTGAGAGCCCGCCCTTTTTTTTTGATTCGGAGCCTCGTTTTTTTAGCTAAATTTGGTGTTTTTTAAGTGCAAAGTAGCTCTAAAACCCTCTGATTAGGACAAGAAAACAGATAAAATAAGATATAATTCAAGTGCTCACTTTGTTTAAAAGAGGCAGAAAAACCTTATCTACCCCTAATTTTAGTATTTAAAACTAGAAATTTTTGGATGAAAATGAAGAAAACTCAAAGCCTCGTACTTAAAGTCGGTTTTTCTGATCGAAAAAGTACTGAAAAAGCGGAAAATCCAAAGAAAATCCCGTAAAAATGATAATCCAGAGTCTACTTAATAACACTTGAGTTTTTGTCACTTACCCCATTGGAAAACTGGAAATTTTTGGCAACAAATTAAAGAAATTCAAAGCATCGTCTTCTAAATTGGTTTTCTCAATTGAAAACGGCCTGGAAAAGCGGGAAATTCGAGGAAAAACTGGATAAAAACATTCAAAAATGGCCGATTGTCAAAACTGGGAAATGACAGTGTACGATGTTGCCACATCTCAAATAGCAAAAAATTACATTTTAAATAGTTTTTTGTTTAAATAATTAATTAATAATGTTTATAAAATGATAAATTCCGAAAATAATGCATTGGAATCATATTTTTAATAAATTTCAATAAAAATTACATTCCAAGGCCTGCTTAATAGTAAGACAAAGAGGGAGATAAAGTAGGAAACAATTTAAGTCTAAAAATGGAAGTTTTTGGTGGAAAAATGGAGCAAATTCAAAGCCCCGCATTTAATATCATCTTTTTCTAATTGAAAAATCCCTGATGAAAAAGTAGAAAATTCAATGGAAAACCAACATTCCAAAGCCTACTTGAAAAATCAAAGTTTTGGTCACTTACTCCATTGGAAAACTGGAAATTTTTGGTGGAAAATGGAGAAACCTCAAAGTCTCGAACTTTAAAACGATTTTTCCGATTGAAAACGGCCTGGAAAAGCGGAAAATTCGAGGAAAAACTGGATAAAAATGTAAACTCGTCAATTGAAAATGGCCGACTGTCAAATATGACAAATGACATTTATTACAAGGTCTACTTGAAGTTGGCTACAAGCGGTGTTGCCACATCACAAAACTTCAAAAAAAATCATTTAAAATGGGATTCTACTTGTTATTTAATAATTAAAAACCCGTTAAATAATTAATTAATAAAGATTTTAAAATTAGAAATTCCTTAATTAAGGCCTCAAAAACTTGCTTTTCAATAATTTTTTCTCACTTACCTCTTGACCGTAAATTAATGGATCTAAAACTAGAAATTTCTGGCAGAAAATGGAGAAAACTCACAGCCTCGTACTTTAAACCAGTTTTTACGACTGGAAAAACCCTGGAAAAGTGGAAAATTGGAGGAAAACCTGGATAAAAATGTAAACACGACACTTCAAAATCGCCGATGAATAATTTGATAGTGAGTAAGACAAAGAGAGAGATAAAGTAGGATACTATTTTAGTCTAAAAATGGAAGTTTTTGGTGAAAAATCGAAGCATATTTAAAGCCCCGCACACAAAACAGTCTTTTTCCGATTAAAGAAGCCTTGAAAAAGTGGAAAATTCAATGGAAAACCAACATTCTAAAGCCTACTTGATCAAACCAAGGTTCTGGTTACTTACCTCGTTGGAAAACTGAAAATTTTTGTCAGAAAATGAAGGAACCTCAAAGCCTCGTACTTTAAACAAGTTTTTTCGATTGAAAAATCCTTGAAAAACCGGAAAAATCAAGGAAAAGCTGGATAGAAACACGCGGCTGTCAAAAGTGGCAAATGATATTACATTACAAGGCCTACTTGATCGAAAACAACGTTGCCACAATTTCACAATTATAATCTCAAATATAATGTTTTTCCTCATTTTCCAACAAATAAAAAAATTTCATTTTCAATATTAATTTGATTGTATTTTTAGAAAAAATAGTAAGATAAAGAAGTAGATAAGGTAGAATGAGTGAAACAAAGAAAAAGTAGGATGCACTTCAAGTACTCAGTTTTAAGCTGGATTTATACAGTAAATAAAATAAGATAAAATAAGAAATAAGAGTTAACCTCATGAGATAGGTACCCTTAAAGTGTTTATACAGAAAATAACAAATAAAATAAGAAATGCATTAGTTATGTATTTGTTATTTTATCTTATGTTATCTTATTTTATTTTATTTGCTGTATAAATCCAGCTTTAGAGGTGGGTTGCGATTCCACGAAGTGTGACTTTGTCACTGCTTCACCGATGCAGATGCAGCGCGGACTAAAGTCAAAGTGATGCAAATAATGAAATATTATTGTAAATCGCATCGCGGTGACGCCAAACAGAAACTGTCCCAATAAATCACTGCTATTTATCACCGTGACACGACTGGAGCAGTCACGTCTTGTCACAGCTCCAGTAAAATCGCAGGTTGGCCCACCTCTAATTTAAATATTGCGGGGTCCTTTACAAGCGAGCGTTTTTAGTAGAGCGGCAAAGTAAAGGTCATCAGGAAACGCTCACAAATCTAATCGACAAAGCCTGCTTTTTAGGGCGATTGTAGGAAAAATTTTAGGATTTATTGGTATGTGTCAGTTTATCTAAATATTTTTAGTTTTTACCTTCAGTACAAGGTTCCTCATTACAATCCTCCTGGGAGAATATAATTTTGTCACCGTCACAATGGGAAACATCCACGACTTCATTTCCTTTGATGCAAACGACTTTTTTGGTTTTTTCACCGCCTCCGCATGGTTTCGAGCACTAAAAACATCCATATTAACTTCAATAAATAAAAATCCTATTGTTATTACCTCTCCCCAAGGCCCACTAAACCATTCACCATCACATTCTTCAGTCCCGGTACAATTTTTAAGCACCTCAAACGTCTTGGATTGATCACATTTTTCATTGTCAACCTTTTTAACTCCTTCGGAAGTGGAAAGACCACAAAACAAGGTTCTAGTTTGGATACCTTTGCCACATTTTGCAGAACACTAGATTCTTTATTACTTAAAATAATTCACAAAAGTCTCCAGTTACTTACCTCGCTCCATTGAGAAGCATACCACAAAAAGTTGCAAGATTCATTTTTATTTTCCTGACATTTTCGTACTACTTCAGGTTTTTGACTGTCATCGCATAATTCGTCACTGTGAATTTGCCCACTGGCTGTTGCGCAAAAGATTTTTCTTGTTTCGTTGGTGAGGCCACATATAGAGTCACACTATATATTTTAGTTAGTTTTCTCTTTTTTTCTTATAGGAAATTATTTACTTACTCCACTCCATTCTGATGTAATCCAGTCAACACCTTCACAAGGCCTTATCAGGCAAGTTTGCTCTTCTATTGGTTTTGGCTCAATAACTTCACACTGAACATCTTCTAGGATTTGGATTTTATTATTTGCATCTTTAATGAAACATTTGACTTGTCTTGTTTGTTTTCCTTCGCCGCACAAGTGATCGCACTAAAAAAAGAATATTTCTTACTTAAATTAATTTGCAAATATATTCACTATTACCGGTTTCCAAGGATCAGTATGCCATTGAGCACAAGTTACTCCTTGATTACACTTTTGCTGAGTAGGGGGTTTGGGTCCCCGACACTCTGATTCATCAGCCAAAGTCGGATATCCATTGGACACGATTTGCTGACAAGAAACGTCTCGGTTTTGGGTGCCACCGTCTTCGCCGCAAGGTACCGAGCAAGGTTCCCAAGGATGCGGCACCCACTGCGCTTCGCAGGCGACTTCGTTGCATTTTCTCGAAGTTTCCGGTCTTCTAGAAGCGTCGCACAACGTTTCGTCTACCGGTTCTAAGGTTTTTCTACCGGCACATGAGACGTTTCTGTGTTGGATACCTATAAAAGAAAAATTACCATAAGTATAAGTACCTACCATAGGTTTTAGTCTTAGTTCATCAGAATTTACAGGAGGAACTCTTACAAAAGGGAATACAACAGAGTCTACAAGTAGAAGCAATAGTTGGTTGATTAATAGATTAGTTGGTTCTCAATCTGCAAATTCTAAAAATACATTGAACCAAGAGACCATTAAAAACTAGCTGATATTTGAGGAAATTGTAGTGAAACAACAATTCATCCATGGAAGTAGATAGTGAGTTGTTTTGGTCAACCCCCTCTAGACCTTCCTAAGGCTCCTTCCCTCGGCCAATGGAGAATTTCCACTTTTTCTGGGCCGTCCTGAATAGTTGAAATTGGAAAAATGAAAACATAAATTATAATAAGCCATAATTGAGCTTGATTGGTTGATTGTTTTGTGAATTGTATGGGTACCAATTAGAAATTGAGTAGGTACTTTTGGTGGTCGTACTGAAATTATTCTTTTTCGTAATTTATTCTCTTGCTTTGGGGGCGGAGACTCGAACCAGTGATCACACCAAAGGGTGAACCACCTTGTGCACACTTGAATCCCACTTTTAATGGAATCCTACTAGAATTCCAGCGAAAAAACAAGGTACTTGACTTGCAAATTACTTTGAGGGTGGTTCAAGGGGGTGAAACTAATAATTGCGATTTATCGAAAAAAGGGTTTTTGTGAAAATATGGACATTTCCACCCTAGTCTCGGGTAGTCTGAACCCTTGGTACTGCCTTTGATTTCTAGTACCAAGATACACCGTTCAGAGTAGGTACTTAAAAAGACTTGTAAAAAACGCTCGCTTGTGAATTTTGTATTTCCCAATTTTTCATTCCCACTTTTTTTCCCCGACTTTTTGTTTCCCGACTTTTTTTCCCCTTTTTTTCCCGGCATTTTTTTTCCCGACTTTTTTTTTCCCGAATTTTTTAACTTGAAATTTTTTTCCCGATTTTTTTTTTCCGATCATTTTTTTTCCCAACTATTTTTTTTCTTGACTTTTTTTTTCGACTTATTTTTTCTCGACTTATTTTTCCCGACCATTTTTTTTTTCCCGACCATTTTTTTCCCGACTTTTATTTTTCCCGACAATTTTTTTTCCCGACTTTTTTTTCCCGACCATTTTTTTTTTCTGAACCGGCTTTTTTTTTCTCGACTATTTTTTTTCCCGACTTTTTTTTCCCCGAATTTTTTTATCTGAAATTTTTTTCCCGACTTTTTTTTTCCCGACCATTTTTTTTTTCCCGACCATTTTTTTTTCCCAACTATTTTTTTTCCCGACTTTTTTTTCTTGACTTTTTTTTTCGACTTATTTTTTCTCGACTTATTTTTCCCGACCATTTTTTTTTCCCGACCATTTTTTTCCCGACTTTTATTTTTCCCGACAATTTTTTTTCCCGACTTTTTTTTCCCGACAATTTTTTTTTTCCCAACCGCCTTTTTTTTTCTCGACTATTTTTTTTCCCGACCATTTTTTTTTCCCAACCGGCTTTTTTTTCTCGACTATTTTTTTCCCCGCTTTTTTTTCCCGAATTTTTTTATCTCAAATTTTTTTTCGACTTATTTTTTCTCGACTTATTTTTCCCGACTTTTATTTTTCCCGACCGACTTTTTTTTTCTCGACTATTTTTTTCCCGACTTTTTTTTTCCTGACTTTTTTTTTCCCGACTTTTTTTTTCGACTTTTTTTTTCTCGACTTATTTTTTCCGACCATTTTTTTTTTCCCGACCATTTTTTTTCACGACTTTTTTTTTCCCGACTTTTTTTCCCGACCATTTTTTTTCTTGACCATTTTTTTTCCCGACTTTTATTTTTCCCGACAATTTTTTTTCCCGATCATTTTTTTTTCCGACCGACTTTTTTTTCCCGACTTTTTCTTCTCAACTTTTTTTTCACGACTTTTTTTTCCGAATTTCCGAAAATTACATGAATTCCGAGGAATTTCCGTCGAATTATATGGAGCTCCGATGCAATTGCATGGAATTCCAAAGAATTGTCAGGGAATTACATGAAATTTAAGTGGAATTTTGAACAACAATTGTCGTTTCATATAAAATTCCAGTGAAATTCCGAAAAACCATACTGTAATTAAGTACATGAAGTTTTATTTTTATTCCGAAGAATTCCTAGTAAAATATATGGAATTTTAGTGAAATTCCGAAAAATTCCCATCGAATTACTGAATTTTAGTAAAACAAGTGCAATTCCGAGGAACTTCCGGCTAAAAACTTGGAACTTCAATGAAATTTGGAAAAATTCTCATGTAATGACATGAAATTTCAATATATTTCGTAGGAATTTCGGTGAATTTTCAAGAAATTATTTGAAGTTTCAATAATATTCTCAGAAATTCCTGACTATTAAAAGAGAATTTCAGTGAAATTCTGAAAAATTCTTATGGAAGTATGTAATGAAATTTTCAAAAAAAAAAAGAAGTTTTACTAGAATTTTGAGAAATTTTCGATTAATAACGTGGAATTTCAGTGAAATTTCAAAAAATTCTTATAAAATTTTAGTTTTTCCATTCAAATTTATCATTTGAATGGAATTTCGAGGAATTCTATAAAACCTTCTGGTGAAATTCTAAGGAATTTCTATGAAATTAACTAAAATTTTCACGGAATTCCCATGGAATAACTTGAAATTTTAATGGAATTCTGAAGAATTTCATGAAGTCTCAAAGTGTAATTGCGAGGAATTTTTGTGGATTTCCGAAGAATTTCATGAATTCTTACATTGTAATTCCGAAAAAAAAAATCTAAAAATTCCATTGAACTTTATGGTGAAATTTCATAGAATTTTATGATGAAATTCGGAAAAGTATTATAAAATCTTTTAGTAAAATTTCTAAGAATTTCCGTTTTTCTATTGAAACTTGTCATTTGAATGAAATTTTGAGGAATTCCATAATTTAGTGGAATTCTCCGAGGAATTTAGGTAGAATTATGTTATTCCGAAGGAATTACAAGTGAAATTTTCGTGGAGTTTCCATAGAATCCACATTAAATTTTAGTTCCTCTCGAATAATATGAAATTTTTAAGAAATTTCATGAAATTTCAGTGGAATTTCGATCGAATTACACGAAATTCTTTCAAATTTACCATTCGAATGGAATTCCGAAGAGTTCCATGAAATCTTCTGGTGAAATTCTAAGGAATTTCTATGAAATTAACTAAAATTTTCACAGAATTCCCACGGAATAACTTGAAATTTTAATGGAAATCTGAAGAATTTCATGAAATCTCAAAGTTTAATTGCGAGGAATTTTTGTCCAACAATTCCATTCAATTTTATGGTGGAATTTCATAGAATCATATGATGAAATTCGGAAAAGTATGTATTATGAAATCTTATACATAGTAAAATTTCTAGAAATTTACGTTTTTCCATTCAAATTTGTCACTTGAATGGATTTTCGAGGAATTCCATAAAATCTTCTAGTGAAATTCTAAGGAATTTCTATGGAATTGACTAAAATTTTCGCAGAATTTCCATAGAATAACTTGAAATTTAAGTGGAATTCCGAAGAATTTCATGAAATCTCATAAGTAGTATAATTCCGAGGAATTTTTGTCTTTGTCCAAGAATTCCATTGAATTTGATGGTGGAATTCTATAGAATCATATGTTGAAATTTGGAAAAGTATGTATTATGTAATCTTGTAGTAAAATTTCTAGAAATTTACGTTTTTCCATTCAAATTTGTCACTTAAATGGATTTTCGAGGAATTCCATAAAATCTTTTAGTGAAATTTTAAGAAATTATTTCTAAGGAATTAACAAAAATTTTCGCGAAATTCCCATGAAGTAACAAGTAACTTGGAATTTTAGTGGAATTCCGAAGAATTTCATGAAATCTTACATTGTAATTCCGAAAAAAAAAATCTAAGAATTCCATTGAACTTTATGGTGAAATTTCATAGAATTTTATGGTGAAATTCGGAAAAGTATTATGAAATCTTATAGTAAAATTCCTAGGAATTTCCGTTTTTCCATTTAAATTTGTCATTTAAATGAAATTTCGAGGAACTCCATAATTTAGTGGAGTTCCGAGGAATTTAGGTAGAATTATGTTATTCCGAAAAAGAAGTTACATGTAAAATTTTTGCGGAGTTTCCATAGAATTTACATTTTAGTTCCTCTCGAATAACATGAAATTTTTAAGAAATTTCATGAAATTTCAGTGGAATTTCGATCGAATTACACGAAATTCTTAATGAGTTGCATGAAGGAATTCTAAACAATTACATGGAATTACACCGAAATTCCGAACATGAAATTTTAGTGCTCGTTAAATTACATAGAAAATTTGAAAAAAAAAATTAAAAAAATTACATGAATACGTTGAATTAGGTATATAGAATTCCGATGTAATTGCATAAAATTCCAAGAAATTCTCAGGGAATTACATGAAATTTAAGGAGAATTTTGAACAACTCTTGTCGTCCTAACGTAATTACATGAAGTTTTATTTTTATTTCGAAGAATTCCTAGTTAAAAACATGGAATTTTTGTGAAATTCGGAAAAATTCCCATTGAATTACTGAATTTAAATAAAATTCCAGAAAACTTCACAAATAGAATTCCGAGGAATTTCCGGTTGAAACCATGGAATTGCATGTAATGACATTAAATTTCAATATATTTCGGAGGAACTTTGGTAAATTTTCAAGAAATTACTTGGAGTTTCATTAATATTCCCAGGAATTCCTGACTGTTGAAAAAATATTTCAGTGAAATTTCGAAAAATTCTTGAAATTTTGAAAAAAAAATTGAAATTTCATTGGAATTTCGAGAAATTTTCGACTAATAACGGAATTTCAGTGAAATTTCTAAAAAATTCTCATAAAATTTTAGTGAAATTCTGAGGAATTTTTAAGAAACTACATGAAATGTCGAAAAATTCTGTGGAATTCCAGGATATTCCAGTGGTGAAGTTTTAAGGATTTTCAGTAAAAAGAAAATTATGTACCTAATTTGAAATTTCTATAGAATTTTGGAGAATTTCGAAAAAAATAAGAAAATATGAAATAATCACAGAATTTTCATCAAATTACATATATATATATATAATTATTATAATTTCACTTTGTGTCGACTTACATAAAATTTCGATGAAATGTCGAGTAAAATTCCAAGGAATTCTCGTCGAATTACATGGAATTCCTTGAAATCTTATTGTGGAATTTTAGTGAAATTACATGGAATCGGGAGAATTCCCTCGGAATTAAACAGAATTTCCGTGGAATTTCCATGGAATCACGAGAAATTTCGGCGGAATTCCGAAGAATTGAATTAAATTTTAGTGAAATTCAGAGTAATGTTTGTCGAATAACATAAAAATTTTAGTGGAATTTTGAGAAATTTCATGAAATCTTATGCTTTAATTCCGAGGAATTTTTGTACAAGAATCCCATTGCATTTTATAGTGAAATTACATGGAATCTTATGGTGAGATTCGGAAAAGTAATTTGAAATCTTATAGGTACCTAGTAAAATTTCTAGGACTTTCGGTTTTTCTATTCAAATTTGTCATTGAATTTAGAATCTCTAAAAACTTTTCAAAAACCCTTAAAATGCTCTAGAATCACCTAATATTTTGAAAATCTAAAATCTTCAGAACTCCTGTAAAATCGTGTAATGATTTTCAAAATCCCACAAAATCAATAAAGATTTAAAATATGTGTTCATTATTTTATGGAGTTAACTAAACCTCGGAATGGTTGATTGGTCAAAATCTGTGTACAAGTTGGTCAAAATCCCAGAAAAACTCGTAAGATCTACTTTAAATCCCTGAAAATCTTTAAAGTCTTTAAAAATCCAACAAAACCTCCTTAAATCATTAATGTTCCTAAAAAAAAAAAAACCTTTATAATTTCCAAAAATCTTTTGGAAACCCCCAAAAATCCATTAAAATCTCTAAAAATCCTTCAGGATCTCTAAAAAACCCTTCTTACTTCCGTATAAAATGCTCCAAAACACTTAAAATCTTCTAAAATCATGTGAATATTTTCAAAATCCCACAAAATCAATAAAGATATAAAATCTGTGTATATATTTTAAGGAGTTAACCACCCCTCGGGTAAAACTAATTATTGCGATTCATCGAAAAAACGATGTTTGTGAAAATATGGATATTTCCACACTAGTCTCGGGTACAAATGGTACTGGAAATTATAGACAGTACCAATATACATCGTTTAGGGAACCTGACTTGATTTGCAAATAATTTTGAGGGGTTGAAACCTAATAATTTCTGAGCTACTCTAATAGGGAATTATTGAAGTTTGAACTTGTATAGGTATTAGTTCAGAGTATTCAACTACTGAATCAGCTTTTCGGGTCTATACATATACATATGGGAAAGGGGATCAGAATAAAGATCATCTAATCTATGAGTGTTGGTTTTCATTAATCACAAAAAGGAGTTCACTGTAAATGTAACCTTTGAAAAGGAGAAGCAAATTATGATGTCTTACTAGGAATTTCAAGAAAAACTAAATTGTTCACGCATATGAAGAAGATGTTAATTCAGTAACCACAGGTTTTTAAAACATTTTGTTAAAGACGTCTTTTGAAACATCTCATTCAAGATATCTTTAAGATGTCAGAGATCTTTAATTTATGAATTCTAAAAAATCTTACCTCCTCCACATGTAGCAGTACAAGTAGTATACTCATCAAAAGTCCAGGCATAAGTTTCATAATCGGAACCAGGTTGCACGTTTGTTGGCAAACTGTATTTGTATTTGACTGGAACTGTAGCGTCTTGGTACAAAAGCACAATAAAAAGTGGTTCTTCGATTGGTCCGAGAGTGAAAACCTTATCCGGTGCAGCAAAACCTTGCGGGTATCTTTCGTAGTGGAACTTGCTTCCAGCAAATTCGACTGTCCGAGGAAAATCTATGCGCCAATTGCCGTTTAAGTAATAATGACCGGAAGTGTTCCGTACAGCTAAAAAAATAAAAAAAATAAGCTGAAATTGTTGATAATCGACAATCAAATCCACCTAAATAGTTGTTTGATGGTGAGACTTCTTCTACAACAATATTAGTAGCTCCTCCAGGTATAAGCAAAATATCATTATATCCAACTTGCATGTCATTCAACTCTAAAGTATTGGTAATAGTATTGCAAGTGCTACCATCTCCTCCGCAAATTCTACAGTCATCTTCTTTGAGATTTGATCCAAGCATCATGTCGCATCCTACTGGCTAAAATACCTATTACAAACACCAATAGAAATATTATTACAGGTTTTACCTGGCATTGTCCATTAACGCAAACGTCTAAAGTTTCATCATTGCATCTTGTACCGTCTATAACCGTTGGAGCGTGTCTGTAATAGAACCTTTGCCCTTTGGGCATACAATTCAGCTCGCAAGGGTTTGGACCTTTAGTATATGGGACCCATCTTGAATTATTAAGTAGATAATTAAGGTGAATATTAATATATGAAGTTTACGTACTGATAATGGACATTTTCAAATGGGACTTCGTCGTATTGGGAACATTGCTGTGCTCGAAAGTCTCCAGTGTCTGGACAATCCTATAGAATAATTCTAGAGTTACAAAGAGGCATTCACCTTAAATTAATTGGGCAATATGGGCTTGAGAATTTTTATGGTCGATTAAGATCTAAGAGGCCTAACCGTGGAGATCGTTAGTATAAATTAGAGAAAGTTGAGGAAATCATTTTTTGAAAATTGTTACGGTTCTAGAAACGTTTATTGGAATTCGACTCGATTAAAACAAACAAACTTTTGGTGGAAATCGATAATAAAACTCGTTTAATTATGCCTCGTGTTATCCTGTTTATAAAATATTCATATATAGTTTCATCTAAATCGTAAAATAAAATGGAAAATCCTAAGAATTCAACATTTAATCGTTTTGTTTGAGCAAATTTAATCCTGGTTAACTATCGAAATGCAATACTTCCTAAAATAATTAGGTTAAAAATAGGTGAAACCCCCAGGGTCAATATCTTGTTTGGGTTTACAAAGACGAAATTCCAGTGTTCCACTCTGTATAAAGCAAACCATTAAATTCCATCTGTCGACCGGCTTTTTGAAGTTAACATAAATTTCCCAGTAGTTGCGATTTTAGTTGTTTAGAGTAACACCCAGGAATTCATTTTTTTTTTTTTTTAGGTTTTATGAATCTAAATGTAATTTCTTACATTTTAATATTTTTCGGGGAAATTATGGAACGTTTAGGCTAAAAACAGGAAAATTAGGTCCTCATTGTGCTAAAATTTCAAAGTTTTCTAGTGAAAAATAACACCAGGGGACTGAAAAATAGAATTCCTATCGCGTTTCTGCCTCAGAAGGTGAACCTAATCCATATTTTTCCTGATGCTATAAAGTTTATCTACAAGCGTGCGGCAACTAAGGTATATTACACGATTTTGCGTGCGGTGAGTACCATAATTTCGCACTGCGTGATATAATAGCGTGCAATAATATCATTACCGCACGTTTTACGCTTTATCTACATAGCGTCGGCATCATATGAAAATTGCCTAAGTCCATTTTTTTCAAAATTGAGATTTTAGTGCAGACTTGTGAGAAACTCAATAATCTATAATGCAACAAAATATTTGGGCGATAAATTATTAGATGGAGCCACAGAACCATGAAAAGAAATTTGCATAAGTCCGTAGGTGGAGTGAAACTTGCGTAAGTCCAGTCTCTTTTGTGTATTCTTGCTGCTGATTTTTCTAATATAGCTTTTCTTGACAAAGGTTTTTTTGCGCCTCCTGTAAAATTTACCTTTTTGGACTTAGGCAATTTTCATATGATGCCGACGATAGGTAGGTATACCTTCAATTACCTACCTATCACCTAAATTCTACTTGTTCATTGTCAAAGGTGACAGACGCACGGTTGTAGATAAAATACTGTATAGAATACGTATGTTAATTAGGTTATTACTGCCCTTAGAGATTGCAAATTTTTTTCGCGTGCGGTAATAACCTATAGTTACCACACTTATTATATAATATACTATTATGTCACTGGTTTTATTCATAGACAAGTATTGCAACCAAAGCTTTACCTGTGTATTACAAGAAAAGTGCCTCCGATCAGGTCCCTCACAATTGTACCCCTCTTGACATTGTCTGTACTGGGTACTAACTCCTCCGCCGCAAGTTCTGGAACAAGGACTCGGTTCCGACCAATCCGCCCAAGGTCCTCGGTCAGGTTCTTCGCCTCCTTCAGTCACGTAACTTTCCGGAAGATACAAATGTGCGCCTTGCTGTCGTTTGAATCTGTCTTTGTAATGTCTGATTCGCTATATAAAATTTAAATTATCAAGTCAATTTGAATAATTTTGTTGAGCTTAATAAACTCATTAAATGCACCTGTTTCTGATGTGTGTGGGCTTTTTTGGTTGAAATTGCTTTTGGCTATAATGAAAAAAATTGATTGAGATTGGGGATAAAACAGCTTGTTGCCAAAATAAATTGCTCTTCAGATTATCTCAAGTGTATATATAATACATTATTTTTTACAGTTTCAACGTCAAAACATACAAAAAGTACTTACATGCCTACTGAGGACGCTGTGAAAAAATGTGATAAAAATAACTGCTAGTAGAAGAGGCGACCTGAAACAAAAAAAAAAATATTAGATACTTAATCTTCAATTTGAGTATAACTAACTAATTCTTCATACATCCAATTTCTATAGATATCAAAGTTAGTAGGTATTTCTCAAAATCTATATAAAAATTACCATGAAAGAATTTTTTAACTAGAATGACGTCTAGCCATTTTACTAAGAAGGTCGATGGGAATTTGACCAATAAAATCTATTTGACAGCATCTCCATTATTATATTTTCACAGAAACCAATCCAAACTACAACTTTAATTGAGTCCTCAAACTCAATTAATTGGTGATTAGAGAGTTTCATTAACTAAAATTTTCCCAAATCTTTTAATTGAGTGATAAATACACGATAGATATTATCATATTTTGTATGTCGTTTATATGCATTCTTGCCTAGATAATATAGATTTAATCTTGGAATTCATTTCCGGCAACCAAATTTTATAACTGCATTTTAATTAATTGATCAATTTAGGTACATATATTTATTTAATTTTACCCATAAACTGCGTGAATAAATTTCGATTAGGCCATTTGTTGGAAATTAAAAACAATTTATAAATTTATGACACACAATTAATTGTTACAGAACACTTAAGAACCAGTTTAGAATTTCAGAAACATTTTAGAACACTTCTGATCACTCTAGAACTCTTCACAAATAAATCATTTGAAATCAATCTATAAACTTTCAAAATATCTTGAAAATCGTGACGTGCACTTTAGAACTAAAAATCAGCTCTAGAAAATCTAAAAACGAGCCTTTTATACTGGTCCAGAACTCAATTTTGACTCAAGAATGGTTGGGAAATTGAATTTTAGTTTCATGAAGGTGCAAAATGAGCTTCTCAGACAGCTCTATGTCAAATTCAACTCTAGAAATGGTTGGAAAAAAGGAGTTTGATACATGATACTTCGAGCCAGAAGTACAATTTTCAACTAATTTACAACTTCCATACCTAACAGGTACTTTCTATGCACTAGAGAATCGATAGTACCTGCTAGGTAACAACTAGAGGTGAGTTGCGATTTAACGAACTGTGATTTTGTCACTGCTACTCGTCTGTCACAGTCACGTCTTGCTCCAGTCCCACTCAAGTAGCAGTGACATTTTGTCACGGCCACTTCGATCTCTAACCGATACAGCGCAGACTAAACTCATCTTAAAGTGATGTAAATAATGAAATATTATTATAAATCACATTGCGGTGACGCAAAACAGAAACTGCTACCGCAGAAGGCAGACTGGAACATTTCTCTCGGCCGTGACTGTGAACTGGGCGAACTGCGATTGTGTAATGTACCATTTATATGTATTACCAGCACGGCCAGTCAAGTCACTGCTATTTGTTACCGTGACACGACTGAAGCCGTCTTGTCACAGTTCCAGTAAAATCGCAGGTTGGCCTACCTCTAGTTAAAACCAACCCGGAGGTGATTCGATATTGAAAAATCGACCCACAGGAACGGAAAAATGTAGCAACCCTGGCACAAAAATTGCAGCAACCCTGACGCAAACGTCAAAAAATTTGACATGTCAAAGTCAAAGTAGGCCTTGTTATTTTTGACAATTAATTCAAAATGGCGTTTGTTTGTTTTTTGTTTTGTGAGCCCGTCCATTTTTTTTAATTCGGAGCCTCGTTTTTTTTAGCTAAATTTAGTTTTTTTTAAGTGCAAAGTAGCTCTAAAACCTCTGAGTAGGACAAGAAAACAGATAAAATAAGATATAATTCAAGTGCTCACTTTGTTTAAAAGAGGCAGAAAAACCTTATCTACCCCTAATTTTAGTATTTAAAACTAAAAATTTTTGGATGAAAATGAAGAAAACTCAAAGCCTCGTACTAAAAGGTTTTCCTGATCGAAAAAGTACTGAAAAAGCGGAAAATCCAAAGAAAATCCCGTAAAAATGATAATCCAGAGTCTACTTAATAATACTTGAGTTTTTGTCACTTACCCCATTGGAAAACTGGAAATTTTTGGCAACAAATTAAAGAAATTCACAGCATCGTCTTCTCAATTGATTTTCTCAATTGAAAACGGCCTGGAAAAGCGGGAAATTCGAGGAAAAACTGGATAAAACATTCAAAAATGGCCGATTGTCAAAACTGGGAAATGACAGTGTACGATGTTGCCACATCTCAAATAGGAAAAAATTACATTTTAAATAGGTTTTTGTAAATAATTAATTAATAATGTTTATAAAATGATAAATTCCGAAAATAATGCATTGGAATCTTATTTTTAATAAATTTCAATAAAAATGACATTCCAAGGCCTGCTTAATAGTAAGACAAAGAGTAGGAAACAATTTAAGTCTAAAAATGGAAGTTTTTGGTGGAAAAATAGAGCAAATTCAAAGCCCCGCATTTAAAATCATCTTTTTCTAATTGAAAAATCCCTGATGGAAAAGTAGAAAATTCAATGGAAAACCAACATTCCAAAGCCTACTTGAAAAATCAAAGTTTTGGTCACTTACTCCATTGGAAAGCTGGAAATTTTTTGTGGAAAATGGAGAAAACTCAAAGCCTCGAACTTTAAAAAGATTTTTCCGATTGAAAACGGCCTGGAAAAGCGGAAAATTCGAGGAAAAACTGGATAAAAATGTAAACTCGTCAATTGAAAATGGCCGACTGTCAAAAATGACAAATGACATTTATTACAAGGTCTACTTGAAGTTGGCTACAAGCGGTGTTGCCACATCAGAAAACTTCAAAAAAAATCATTTAAAATGGGATTCTACTTGTTATTTAATAATTAAAAACCCGTTAAATAATTAATTAATAAAGATTTTAAAATTAGAAATTCCTTAATTAAGGCCTCAAAAACTTGCTTTTCAATAATTTTTTCTCACTTACCTTTTGATCGTAAATTAATGGATCTAAAACTAGAAATTTCTAGCAGAAAATGGAGGAAACTCAAAGCCTCGTACTTTAAATCAGTTTTTTCGACTGGAAAAACCCTGGAAAAGTGGAAAATTCGAGGAAAACCTGGATAAAAAAGGAAAACACGACACTTCAAAATGGCCGATGAATAATTTGATAGTGAGTAAGACAAAGAGAGAGATAAAGAAGGATACTATTTTAGTCTAAAAATGGAAGTTTTTGGTGAAAAATCGAAGCATATTTAAAGCCCCGCACACAAAACAGTCTTTTTCCGATTAAAGAAGCCTTGAAAAAGTGGAAAATTCAATGGAAAACCAACATTCTAAAGCCTACTTGATCAAACCAAGGTTCTGGTTACTTACCTCGTTGGAAAACTGAAATTTTTTGTCAGAAAATGAAGGAACCTCAAAGCCTCGTACTTTAAACAAGTTTTTTCGATTGAAAAAATCCTTGAAAAACCGGAAAATTATTCAAGGAAAAGCTGGATAGAAACACTCGGCTGTCAAAAGTGGCAAATGATATTACATTACAAGGCCTACTTGATCGAAAACAACGTTGCCACAATTTCACAATTATAATCTCAAATATAATGTTTTTCCTCATTTTCCAACAAATAAAAAAATTTCATTTTCAATATTAATTTGATTGTATTTTTAGAAAAAATAGTAAGATAAAGAAGTAGATAAGGTAGAATGAGTGAAACAAAGAAAAAGTAGGATGCACTTCAAGTACTCAGTTTTAACCCTTTGATGCCTAACGGGACTTATATGTCCCAGCAAGAGTCTAAAAAATTCTGCTGGGCTTATTACAGTTCTTAAATGTATAGTATGTGATCCCAGCAGTAGTTTATGGACTCATTCAAATATTTTGGCGAATGCGGTAGGAAATCTCACAACACTTTTTCGCGGAAGACTTCAGTCGTTTGTTAACCTCGTTCACCGCCACATGTTCGTTGTTTATTTTCGAATTTTTGAGTGGTTTTCGTCACTATTTTGTGCAATAAATGAAAATTAATAGTGGTAAAGGTAAGTACCAACTAGTTTTGGGGTTTTGTATAAAAAAAAAAATTGCCCTCTATTATATTTTATAAAAAATAAGACTGTGGGACATATATGTCCCATGAGTATTTTTTAGTGGAATATATTTATCCCAACAGTGATTTTCATTCTTATTATTTGACCTGTTATTTTTAGAATGAATCGAAGACCACTTTCTCAGAATGAGTTGGAGATGCTGCTAGAGGACCAGTCCGATGAAGAGGATCCTTTTCATGCTTCGGACGAGTCGGATAGCGATTATCTGCCATCTGATGAAGAAACAGATAGACCACAATCTCCGTTTTCTCCAATGGAGGAAGACGAAAACAGTTCTGACGATGAAGATCATGCTCTCAACCAAAACATGTCTGAAGATGATGTACCTGATGCCGAGCCATCTGATGACAGCGATACCCAGTCCGATTCCGATGGACGTCCTCAAACGGCGGATGGCGTTATACAATGGTTTGATATCCAAAACATTGCCAATTTTCAACCACGCAAAGTTAAGCCTATACAATTTCGTAACGCAGTGATTTTGGCTAATCTAGATAGGAGTTTCTCGAAATTGGGTGTGTTTTTCAAAATATTTCCCAGAAGTCTTTTTATATACATTGCACAAAATACAAACAAAAGAATTACTTTGTTCAATGAAAACAGGCGTAACAAAATTCCTCTAACAGATGCTTCGGAAATAATGATTGTTGTTGGTTGCATGCTAATAATGAGTTATAATCGAGTGCCATCGTTTCATGATTATTGGTCTAATAAGAAAAGCTTGGGCAATGCCTGCATCAAAGAGTCTATCAGTCGCGATCGCTGTACACTACTACTTTCAAAAATGTATTATACTGACCCTGAAAAGCCAGAAAATTGTTCTAAGACATATTATGTTGACGATTTGATTGCTTGCTTGAAGCAAACATTTCGGTCTGCCCGATCTTTCTCTTCTCATCTCAGCATTGATGAATCAATGGTAAAATTTAAGGGTCGCTCCTCACTAAAACAGTATTTGCCACTCAAACCCATAAAAAGGGGAATCAAAATATGGGAATTATGTGATTCCAAATGTGGGTA